TGGGGGGGGGGGGGTTGTCAGTGCCCTGTGTAACTCCTCCTCTTGAAGAACAAAAAATGCACATTAAAATGCAGATATATGCAAAATAGTGGCAATTATGCAAAAGTGTTCAAATTGTGTCCAAATGTATCTTTCCTGGCTCAAAACTGTACACTTGTTAGCACAAATCTTTGCTTACACTCTGCAATGAAAAAACGCTGGGCATAAACAAATCCACCTTGACACAGTCTTATTAAGCACACTGTTGTGTCAAATATGTTTAATACTAGGAGCAACGGGCACTAGGACGTGAGAGCTCCCTGAGGCCCCAGCCTGGCCGTGCCAGTGGGACCCCAGGGTGGCGGCACAGGCCGCGACAGTGTCCCAGTGCAGGCGTGGGCAGCGACCTCTGGGCTGGCGCCACCACAGGCCACCCTGAGGGTGCAGCCGGGTTGCAGGCCGACAACGCGCATTGGTCCTGGGCTGTGGGGGGGCCAGCATGGCAGAAGGAGCGGCCACAGCATGAGGGCCCGCCGCATGATGTGGGGGTTAGTCTGCCCATCGTCTGCGAGGGGAATGAGGGCCAGCGCAGCGCCGTCACCCGCTAGTGAGACGAGGGGCGCTGGAACAGGTTGGCACTGTCTTCGTGGCTGGGCGGGCGGCAGCAGTGGCGTTGGGGCTGCATCGAGCACTTTGCAGGTGAGCGGGCGCTAGGCCCCGTGCAGCCGCAGGGCTGGCGGTGAGGTGAAGTGGGCTTTGGGCGGTGACGATGGGTGCGGCGGTGGGAGGATCAGCCTCCGGTCCCCATCTCCTTCCCCCGCTGCAGACTCCAGGGTGGAGGGGTGACAGAAGTGGCCGCCACTGCCTCCGTGTCCGGCCAGGTGGCGGCGTCCCACGGGCTGCCTCCACTGCCATCAGGCCAGTGGGCCACACCTGGTGGCAGGGCATCCAGGCAAGTGGAATCGGTGTTGCCTGGTGATGAATGGCAAGAGGGTGGCAGGATTGGCGAAGGGCTTGGATGCATGCAGCCGCTGAAGCATCCATTCCTCCCGGCGGCTCCCCGCAGAACGCAGGAGAGGCTGCCCGGCAGGTCTGTGGGCAGGACTGAGGTGATGGGAAAAGGCAATGTGGCCAGGGGATTGGCCCCCTTCCTGAATGACAGGCCAGGGCTCCAAAGGCTGGGGAGGCGTGTGGAACGTCTCACATGAAAACTCTTTTATATATAAGGAGGGATATCACATCTATCTCAACAAAATCATACCACTGAGAGAACCAATCACCTGCTTTAAGCATGAAGCTGTTTCAGTGGGGAGAAAATTAAAGCCTTGGCTGATTCCTCCAAGTTTCCACACCAACACGCCATTGCTTTAGCCATTTTGCAGCACAACAGTATGAGCCAAGGAAGCCAAAAGAAAGAGCACTTCACAGACCAAATGCATTCCCACAGCATCCATGACCACCTCTGGTCCCACCCACACGAACACATGAACCTGCTTGATACTGAGGCAGACCGTCTGTCTATCTAGCTCAGTATTGTCTACTTTGACTGGCAGCAGCTCTCCAAGGCTAAGGTCTTTCACATCTTTTTTACTGGAGAGGCTGGGAATTGAAACTTGGACTTTCTGCATGCAAAGCAGATGCTTTACCACTAAGTTTTGATCCTTCCTTAATAACAAGGAACATATGATGCTGCCTTATGCTAAGTCAGGCCTCTTAAGGTCAGGATTCTCACAGCAGCTCCCCAGGGTCTCAGGTAAACGTGTATCCCGACACCTGATATCTGGCCATTTTAACTGGAGGTGCCCGGGATTGAACTTGGGACCTTCGGCAAGCCAAGCAGGTGATCTACCACATAGCCACAGTCCAGATCATAGCTTATGGGGACAAACAGCAGGCATGCTGAACTTTGAGTGGAAAATGTAACGTGGCTTTTCTGGAAGCACAACTCAAAGAGCAAAGCTAACTGTACTCTTTGCCATCCTTTACAGGAGGGGCTCTTGTGCCCTTGTCAGCTGTGGCTAGCCTGGTGCTGTCTGAAAATAGGAGAATCCAAGGAAGATGTAACAATCTCATCTACTCTGTGCAGTCTTGAGAACAGGAGTGCACTGAAGTCAATGAGCTCAGAATTACGTAACTCTGTTCAGGATTGGATTGTTTTAAGATACAGAAGAATTCTGACAATGCAATCCTATGCAGAGTGACTCCAGTTTTAAGTCCACTGGAAATCAATGAGAATAGAGTAGAATAACTCTGCCTGCAAGTTACTCCAGTCTAAGCCCGTTCATTCCAGTGGCTTTGGACTGGAGTAACTCAGCACAAGATTGCACCCTAAAAGTTGGATGGTAGAAAAAGGCCCTGTTCAAACAGTACATACCTATCTTGACTGCACACACCTCCATATTGATCCAAAGGTCTGTGCTTTGAGGCTACCATCTATGATCAGGTGCTTGAGGGAGAAGGAACTGGAGGCAGCCCCTCCCCCACTACTCCAAACAAAGACACTGACCTCTTTTATGAGGGGTGAGTTTACAGGTTTCCATGTAGACAGCAGTGTAAACTGGAAGCAGACCAGAATCACACAAGGAGCATTCATCTAAGCACACGGTTCCCAGTCCAATTGGGGATATGCACCAGTAAACCAGCAATGTCCTAGTTGCATCAGGGTGAAAAAGTACACATGAAATTGAATTAAGATACAGTTACATATTTATATAGACAACAGTTACTTGGGATTTCAAGAGCAAAAGATTTTGCATTTGAAAATTTCACTGGACTTCTCCTAGAACATATTAACTATTTCTTGGGGGTCCAATATTTATTCTTAACAATGAATGGCAGCAGGCCACACTTGCACAAACAGAACACAGGTCTGCTTGGATAATCAACACCCCACCAGTTCTGGAAGTCCGGGCAAGCCACAAAACCCGATGCTTCAAGGAGCTCCTGATGGGATTATCTTTCTGCAGTTTTCTGTAGCTGTCTGGCCTGGAAGGTCACATGTGCAGCAGACCTGTGGGAGAACTGCCCTGGAAGAGTATTTGGGAAACACACATTACAAGTTGTTAGGTGTACACAAGAAGTTTTCAGTGCACTCCCACAGGGTTACCAAGAATGTGAGGCAGCCAGGTAAAGAGCCCTGCCAGAGAGCCAGGATTGGTTGTTATTCCCTGCCGAGCGTCCACTCAGTGACAAACCTGTGTCTGTCACTAGGGAATGTGTGAAACTGCTCTTTCAGGAACAGCAACATCGCATTAAACTTATCAAGAAAAGGCTTGCTGAATGCAGAAAAATCAAATGAACAATGAAATCTAATCACAACGCCAGATACTTTCTGTAATATTTTATTTATATAGAAATACTTAAAAAAACATGAAGTAGCACCATTACTTAAGTTTTACCTTTATTATGTAGAACTTTAAATGTCAGAAAAATAAAACTCTTGATACAATTTCAAATCTTGTCTCAGCAAATATAATATTAGTATTTGACCATGAGGTTAAAGGCCCTTTATCATAAAATAAAATATACTTTGTTTTTAAACTTTGCTCAGTAAAGTACATTTAAGATCAAGTAACATCACCTACATATACATAAACGTGGTAAACAAATGTATTAAAATAGAAATACTAAACTATAGTGGTGCAACAGAATTTTTTTTGTAATTTCCACCGAATTCTATTTATACAAATGTTAGAAAGCATCAACAATTCCTTTTGACCGTATGCTTAAAACATTTCAATTTTTTGTAATAATATAGAATAAAATATGCTTTATATCACTGAATAGAAAATATGCTGGGTGAAGCAGATTTAAAAGATTTTTTTTCTTGAACCTATAAAAATCTCCATCCCAACAGAATACTGTTCAAAGTATTACACATTTTATGGTTTTGCAATTCCATTCACAATTTGTGTGATATTAAAATAATACAGTGTTCTTTGCCCATAAGGCCATACTAAAAAATAAAAAAGATTTAACCCAGCTACAAAAAAGTTCACTGAACTTAAATTAAAATACTTGTAAACATCTTTGCAATATGAAATATAATTTTTCAAGTCAAAAAAGAATAAAATACTTCAATCTGTATTAATGCAATTTATCTTTAAAATCTTTAAACGCTAACTATATATATATATATATATATATGAGATATATATATATATGAGATATGTTACAGTTTCCTTTTTTCTTCTTTTTTCTTTGATAAAGCTGCAGTATCATAGTTTATTATTATTAATTTTTCACAGGAAAAAAAACAACCTTGCCCTTTCAAGAACGTTCAAGAAAAGTTATCCATCTATAGATTTCTCAATAAGCAATCTAGCCTACCTTAGTTTGGGGGGGGGGAGAGAGAGAGAGATTGTTTTGGAAGCTTGGCCTTAAAAGTGTAAAAACTAGTATATTACTAGAACGACGTTCCTTAATATTTATAGCATGCATTTGATGTTACAAATATCCCCCTTAACCCACTCTAGCCTACAGTACACTCAATGCAAAAATAATATATATATTTTATATACATATATATATATACATATACATACATACATATATATATATATATGAAATGGTAACCATCCTATAAAGTCAGGTTTACTCCCCCCTCCCCTTTTGTTACTTTTTTTGGGGGGGGGGGATGTGCGGATACTGCAGCTTTAATATCTATCTGTCGATCGATATATGCAAGTAAGAAGACCTTAAGATGCAGGAGAGGCGGCGTGTCGGAGGCGGGTCTCTGTGCGGCCGCGAGTCTTTCCTTAGGAGAAGATCCGGATGGCCTGAGTGACGGCGCTGTGGCAGACGGGGCACTGGGGCTCCGTCTTCTCGCAGATGCGGTTGGCACACTCCATGCAGAAGAGGTTGTGGCCGCAGGGCACCAGGGCCGCGATCACTTCGCTCTCGAAGCAGACGGAGCAGTCGCGGCTGCCTTTCCTCCTCATGCCGGAGGAAGAGCACGACGAGCTGGAGGAAGAGCTGGACGAAGAGGAGGACGAGGCCGAGGAGTCGGACGGCAGGCCGGGCAGGTGGCAGCCCAGCCCGTTGGCGTAGAGCGGGTAGGAGGAGGAGGAGGACGAAGAGGAGACCGAGGAGGCGGCGGCGGCGGCGGCCACGGCGGCGGCGATGAGGCGGCCTCCCGGGTCGCTGGGACAGGCGCGTCGGAGGAGGAGGAGGAGCGCCGCCACAGCCGCCGCGCCTTGGCCCGCCGCTCACCAGCAGGGCCAGGTTGGCGTTGGGCGCCGGCGAGCCGCCGGGAAAGGACACGGCGCCGGGCGAGGAGGGGCCGCGTTCGAACTGTGACCACAGGAGGGGCGCGCCGGGCGGGGGCGCCGGGGCCAGGTCGAAGCCCGGCGGGGAGTCGAAGGGCGGCAGCTCGGTGGCGCAGCACTCGGGCGACGAGATGACCTCGCCGCCGCCGCCGCCGCCGTAGACGCCGTAGCCGTTGTTGTTGCCGTTGTGGTGGGTGAAGGCGAGGGCCGGGCTGGGCGGGCTGTAGTCGCCCAGGCGGCCCCCGCCGAAGTAGGAGTCGGTGGAGGCGCTGCCCAGCGAGCTGGAGCTGTCGTTGCGGTAGCTGCAGAAGGGCTTGCGGCCGGGCGTCGGCGTGAGGCTGGCCGAGGAGGAGGAGGAGGCCGGCGGCGGCGGAGGGGGCGGCGGCGGAGGGGGGGGCGGCGGCGGCGTGGGCTTGCTCCAGAGGCTGCCGGCGCCGCTGCCGCCGCCGTTCAGCTCGAAGCCCACGTCGGTGCCGTTGGCGTGGAAGTCGTTGTCGTCGGTCAGCTCGATGATGCCGCCGGTGCGCATGGCGATGTGCGCCTCGATCTCCTCGCGGGCGCGGTCCACGTTTTCGGGCATGCCGGTCACCTCGAAGACGGGCTCCTTGTCCCGGCTGGGCGTGACGATGTAGGTGTGCGTCTGCTGCTGGATGCGCTTTATGGTGGCCCCCTTAGGCCCCACCACCAGCCCCACCACCCGGTAAGGGACTCGCACCTGGATGGTGGTCTGCCCGGGCAGGTTGGGCGGGCTGGGCACCGTGCCGTTCAAGACCGTGTTCTTGTTCCGGGAGGCGCGGATCATGGAGAAGTGCTCCGCCGCCGAGATGATCTCCCTCCGGGCCATGGCCACATCTTCCTTCCTGCCCGTGACGACAAAGAGCGGCTCCTCCCCGCGGACCGGGGTCTTGATGTAGGTGTTGGTTTTGGCCCGCAGAGCTTTGATTTTACAACCTGGAGGCAGATGTGGGGCGGGGGGAGATTGGAAGGGAAGAGGGAACGGGACAGGGAGAACCGGTTACACCTCCGGATTTCGGACGGCGACGAAAAAAATGGTCTCACTCCCCCCCCCCCTCCAGCACTCGAACCGTTGCTTCGCCCCACTCCCCTGACAGGGGAAAACAAACGCGCACGAGCTGCCCCCGCCTTTTTGCCCCACACGCCCACCTCAGCGCTCCCATCCAATATTCCCTCTGGCCAAGACGCAAACCCCCCCCCCCCAATTATCTGATGGGGAGAGACCAAAAAAAGAAAAGAAGCCCACTCCGGGGGCCAAGCCAAGTTGTGTGCCACCATTAATCAATATGCATCCTTTGCAAGGGGGTGACACAGATAGACAGCAACACCCCCTTTCTTAGAAAGGGGAAAAAAATAATTGCACGCTTGTGCTCCACGCATTCCGGGGGGGAAGGGTTAAGAAACAACCCGGGGGGTGGTCCTTTTTTGTTAAAGGCGGCGGTAGCCCCCAAGGTCTATGGAAAAGCTACCCAGATGCTGACTGCGGATGCTAGGAACCCAGCCCCATTGTGTCCGCCGCCTCATGGCGATGCCTCCAAAGGAAACACCCCTTCGTTGCTAACTAGGGGGGGGGAGCGATAACAACAAACTCGCACTCACGGGGTGTGTTTTTCTTGCGAGCGGCTCTCTCGCGCTTTCTTTCGCACCGTCAAAGCGGCGCAAAGGTTGGTGCGCATAGGCGAGGCGCAGCCACATCTGGCCGAGCACGGATGCAAAGGCGAGCCCCCCCCCTCCTGCCTCACTTCCTTTGTCTGTCTCAGGAGCAGAGAGGCAGCCAGGTTGGCCAGCTGGGCTGAGGGGGCGAGGCGGGTTGGGCATCCCGAGCCACCCCTACAAAAACGCAAGCCCGGCAGGCACCGTGGGGGGGGGACCCTCGCCCCCCCCCCGAGAATACACACACACACCCAGGGGCGCGTTCGCCCACCTTGCCTTCCCACGATCTCGGCGACATGCTCGGAGCTGGGCACAGGGACGCATTCGGTCATGTTCACGCTCTTCTTGCGCGGCTCGTTGTCGTAAAGGGAGCCCGTCTCGTCGTTGTCCAAGCCCAGGAGGGAGAGCTGATCCAAGGCGATCTGCAGGGCTCTTTGGTCATCCAGGGTCTCGCCGCCGCCGCCGCCGCCCCCGCCGCTCCCATTCCTCTCCATGTCGGCAAAAAGCGAGCTAGGCATAGTCCCGCTGGGGGTGCAGGATCGCGCCCTCCTCCTCCTCTCCCTCCTGCGCTCGGATCAGTAGTCGGGGGGGGGGGGGGTAAGCAGACACAAAGGAAGGAGCCGAGGCAGATGGCCAGGGAGCAGCGGCCGGGGAGGAAACGGAGGCAAGCGCCGGTGGGGATCCTGGGAAGCAATCCCTGGATGCTGGTAACAAAACAAAGCCCCTCAAAAAAAATTTTTGTAGTTTCTTTGTGCTGTTTAAAAAAATAAATAAATCCTTGCTTTGCAATGCAATCCGGTTTATAAGATGCTTTCCAAGACCCCCACCTCCACGACTCCCCCCCAAGTTTTTTTTTCCTCCGGGCCGGTTTTGGGGGGGAGGGCTGGCGGGGGTGTGCGGACGGCGAGAGCGAGGCGCTGCGCTGCCTCGTCCCCCCCTCGCGTTCTTTTTGCTGGCCACAATGCCAGGCGATGGCAGCGCTGCTTTAAGGAGCCCCTCCCAGCCTCCGCTCGCTCCGCACCCCCCCCCCTCCTCCGCCTCTTTTCTGTCTGAGCCTCTGCTGCAGCCAGACAGCGCTGGGGAGGGGAGGGGAGGAGGGGAAGAAATCAGAGCGCCGCAGCCCGAGCGGCCCCGCGCCGACCGCCGAGGAGCCCCCGACGCCGCTGCGCCCGCCCATTGGCCGCCCGGCCGAGCGAGGGGCCGGCGCTGAGCCCGGCCCCTCCTCCCCTCCCCGGCAAGGCTCCGCTTCCCTTTGTTGTCGAATGCAGAACAATAAAATCAGGCCCCGAAAGCGACTCCGAGAGCGCGACCCCGATGCCCGTCGCGGTCCCCGCCGAGCAGCAGGCAGCGCCCGTCTTCAGACCCAGCGCCCGTTTCGTTAAAGCGCAAGACCTCTCCGAAGCCTCTGGACCCACCCAGCCGCTCGCCTCCACGCCCAACCGAGCGGAGGCCGGGATACTGCCGGGGGGGGGAGCGGGGCCAGGCCCCCGCGGCCCGTCCCAGAAGCCACAAGGACAAGGGGCGCGTTGAGCGCCTATCTGAAGCTGGACGGGCCTCAAAGGTGCGCGCCGCCCCTGCGGGTCAGGCATTAGATGTCAGCAGTCCCCTTCTGGTCTCCGGGGTGCCACTCGGACGAGAAGGGACTAAACTGCCGGCGCAGAACCCTTGTCTCGAGGCCCTTCCCCTGGAGAACGCGGGGAGACTTAGGCGAACCCTAATTCCTGAGCATGTGCAGAGAAAGCCTTTCGTGGATAAGAAGCGCTGCCCGTCCTCCGCGCTCACGCCTGACAGTGGGGGTGCCAAAGGTTTCCAGGTCAAAGGGGTGTGGCCTCTCCGGGCAGCTCGTGAGCTCTTTTGTTTTGCAAGTTAAGCGGCAACGCATTTTTTTTTAAGAAATCAACATTCATTCATCCCCCCCCCCAACCCATGAGCTGCTGCAGTATGCTGGAAAAGCACGCCCGATGGGCACTCTCCGAGCCAGCACCATACAATGTCGCCCGTTGAAACACACATCGCATCCTTATTTCTTTGTGGCAACCTGACTCAGTAATCAGTAAAGGATCTATTGCAACCCGAGAAGCCCACTGATCGTCCTCTCTGGCCGCCGTTTCTTTGTCGTGAGCTAAGAAAGACCCCCCAGATCTGCGGCGCCTGGAGCCCAGCGATTTCACGCCAGGCGGGGGGGAGGGGGACTTGCAGGGCTCCCGTTGCCTGATTGGAACAGCCGGTTTCTGCGCCTGCGCCCCGCCTTCCGCTGGGGCTTCTCGGGCATGCGCGTGGCACCCACCTCTTCCACATAAAGGCTGACGAGAAGCGCGTTTTCCCCATTCAGGCACTACGAGTTGCCGCTGGTGCGGGGCTGTTCCGAGAGGAGGAGGAGCGGCGGCAGCAGCAGCAGCAGACGCCCCAGCAGGCCTCCCCCGTCTTCCCAGGGAGACTACGCCTTCGGGAGCCACGTGCATGGTGGGCTGGGAAGAGGAGGCGCTCATCTGAACGGGGAAAGGGGAGGCGGGTTTTAGGAAGCGTTTTGCAGCTCTGAAACAAAGCGTGCAAGCCTGGAAACAGGAAGAGAGATTGAGTAGAATGCTTTTCGAATTTATGGCACACAAGGCATCGGGATCTTGAACAGGTTTCTGGACGCATAATAAGTCACCCAGTGTGCCAGCAGCAATATGAAGCGTTTCTCCTGGAGCAGGAAATCATGCTGGTGTGCAACAGGCCGCTTCTGCTTAAGACTGATGTTTCTTTTCTGCCTCGGCCTCGGAGTCGACTGGATTGTTCAAGCTGTTGAAAGGCAGGGATGCAATGAAATTACTGCCTGACTGGGATGAGGCAAACCTAATGACTCATGCAAAGATGCACCATACTGCTCTCTGAAGGTAATTTTGCTGCATCTCTGCATTGGGTTGAGCTAATTGTATCTGATGCAGAAAAGTGGTAGACTTACCCACCCACCTCCAGCAGGGACTGACTGGGAAAAGGCAAGGACAAAGTAGTGACTGGTACAGAGAAGCAGCAGGTAGATCCCTTCCAGGGTCAGACATCCCACTGATCATACAATCATGACAGCTCTGACGTGTCTAGAGAAGAATGACTAGAAGGAGGCATAGACGGAGCCCTGAATTGTGCAGCTTTCTTTGGGGGTGGGTGCTTTGGGGGTCTCATAAGAGCCTGTAATTGCTTAATTATTTGTCTGCACACAAATAGTTCCCACGCAGGACATCAGTGGGCCTCAGCTCACTGTTTGGCCTTAGCTGCTTTTTAAAAATCATACACTGTTCTGAAGTAGAGGTCCCCAAAGCTGCTAACACATGAATGAAGCAATACATTTTAAAAAGAAAGAAAGAAAACAAAAATGGCTCTGAAATATGCTATTACTGCCCTGTCATAAGTGTCAAGGGACTAAATCTGCTCCCACACACACACACACACTTGGGCAGACAGTTCCACATGCAAGGGCTAGTGGATGCCCCCTATATTTGCAGCCCCCCCAACCTTCAAACACCCAGACAGAGGCTGCAACCTTAAGCATACTTTCCTGGGAGTAAATGCTGCTGAATAAATTAGGATTTACTTCCAAGTAGACCTGTTTAGGATTGTTCCCACAGGGTACTTCCACCATATGAGGTCTTCTTCTGCACAGATGGCTTCACATACACTTTGAGAGATACAGTGTGGTAATTAATATAATCAAACTCTCCCATAGGGATTGGAGAGCTGGATTTATGGAGATTTGAATCATGGAATAAATTTTGATGTAGCATATACCAAGATAAGAAAAAAGGGGGAAATGCAACCCTAACACTTGTCCTTGTATATACAGTACAAACAGCAGCTTTTTCATTACCTTTGGATCAGCCCCATACCCTTTCCTTGGCTGCTGCATTAACCAAGTCTTCCCATCCTATTTCCTTCACTGTCCTCCTTTCAACTCTTTTGCTTTGCCCAACTAACTTTAACTGACTCTCCAGTCTTAGGATTGTTTTCAGCTTCATCAGGTTGATCCAATCACAGGCCAGCCAAGCTGTGACCAACTCTTCTTCCGTCCCAGGCTGCTCCTCCTAAGCTCACATTCTCTCAACTGAATGTACCCAGTTCCTTTTAAACTTCACTAGTCAATATTTAAATAAACAGCACTTTAAGCTGGTGTAGAATAGTGGTTAGAGTTGGACTAGGATGCGGGAGAGCCAGGTTCTAGGGCCACTCTATCATGGAAGGTTGCTGAGTGACTGTGGGCCGACCTCACAAGGTTATTTTGAGGATCACATGGAGAAGAAGAAAGTGATGTAATCCATTTCAGCTCCCCATTGAATCATAAAATCAGAGTTGTTACTTCCATGGTCATCTAGTCCAACCCCCTGCACAATGCAGGAAATTCACAAATACTTCTCCCCCACACTTCCAGTGACCCCTGTTTCATACCCAGAAGATGACAAAAAAAAAACCCTCTAGGATCCCTGGTCAAACTGGCCTGGAGAACAATTGCTTCCTGACCCCGAAGTGGCGATCAGCATTTCCCTGGGTGTGTAAGAAAGGGCCACAAGAACTAAGCACTGAGGCAACACTTCCTGACCTCCCTCTCATGATCTAGCTAAGTACACAGAATCGGCATTGCTGACAGATGGCCATCTAGCCTCTGTTTGAAAACCTCCAAAGGAGGGCCCACCACCTCCCAAGGAAGCCTGTTCCACTGAGGAACCACTCTTGTCAGGAAGTTCTTAATGTTTAGCCGAAATCTCTTCTGATTTAATTTCAACCCGTTGGTTCTGGGGCAACAGAAAACACCTCTGCACCATCCTCTATATGACAGCCCTTCAAGTACTTGAATATGGTTCTTATATCACCTCTCAGTCATCTCCTCTCCAGGCTAAACATACCCATCTACTTCAACCTTTCCTCATAGGACCTGGTCTCCAGATGCCTCACCATCTTCATTGCCCTCGGACACATTCCAGCTTGTTTATATCCTTCTTAAATTGTGGTGCCCAGAACTGAACACAATACTCTAGGTAGGGTGTAACCAGAGCAGAGTAAAGTGGTACCATCATTTCACATGATCTGGATGCTATACTTCTGTTAATACAGCCCAAAATTGCATTGGTATTTTTACCTACCGTATCGCACTGCTGACTCATGTTCAGTCTATAGTCTACTTATACCCCTAGATCCTTTTCGCACATACTACTGCCAAGACAAGTCTCCCCCATCCTATAATTATGCATTTGATTTTTCCTACCTAGTTGCAGAACTTTACATTTATCCCCATTGAAATTCATTTTATTTGTTTTAGCCCAGCTTTCCAGCCTGTCAAGATCATCCTGTAGCAATTATGGTAGAGGTCTTCTACCGTATTTGCTACCTCTCCCAATTTAGTATCATCTGCAAATTTAATAGGCATTCCCTCTATTCCTTCATCCAAATCATTGATAAAGATGTTGAACAAAACAGGTCCCAGGACAGATCGTTGTGGCACTCCACTTGGCACTCCAAGAGGATGAGGAACCATTCACAAGCACTC